GTACCAGTAAGGCCTTCTTGCGGACCACCCTGAGAATTTGTGGGGGGGGTGAAGCCCCTCAAGCCCCCCTCCCCCCAGCTACATGCCTGTATCACACAGTCCTAGACGCTTGGGAAGTGTTCGACTTGTGATTTTGTGATACAAAATCCAGCATATATACCTCGTTTGCTGCGATAGCGACATACTGTGTTTTTTGTGTCAGTAGAATAATAATAATAATAATAATAATAATAATAATAATAATAAGCTGACATGATATGAGGATTTAAAGATCAAACTGCAAAGACTCTGGCACAATCCAGTCAAGGTGGTCCCAGTGGTGATTGGCACACTGGGTGCAGTGCCTCATTTATTTATTTGTTTATTTCGACCATTTTTACCCCGCCCTTCTCAACCCCTGGGGGGACTCAGGGCGGCTTCCAATTGGCAATAATTCAATGCCGCATCATAAAATACAGAATAACAAATATAACAATTAAACATGAACATTAATAAATAAAGATTAAAACCGCATACTTACACTCTGATTAGCTATTGCCCGTCTGGTGGCTGTTTGGCTAGCCATCTACTAATGATTACTCCGCTTAACTTATCCAAATCCTCTTCCATGCCATAGTCAAACATTATCAATTGTCCTTTAACCTGATTGCCGGAAGGCCTGGTCCCACAGCCACGTTTTCACCTTTTTTCTAAAGGCGAAACGTCAGGAGGAAATGCTGCCAAACCACAGCCATCATAATAATTATTTTACTGACACGAAACCACAATATGTCACAGCAAACGAGATCTCTATGCTAGGTTTCGTATCACAAAATCGCAAGTCGATCCCTTTCCCAAGTGTCTAGGACTGTGTGATGACGACTGACCATTGTAATTATATGACTGTATTTTGCCTTTTAATATTTTACTGTAATTTGGAATATGATGTTTTTAATTATTGTTGTAATATTGATGTTCTCACCGGCCTGAGTCCCTCGATGGAGGTGAGAAGACAGCTATACAAAACTGCTAAACAAACAAACAAATAAATGTATCAGCGCATAATGCATGCAGATCCCAGTAGGGTGGCCTTTTGCAACTAATCGATGGTAATCTTGTCAGCGCCGATTGTGTTTAAGTGCAGGCAAGACCTTGGCCTGCACTTAAACACAAGTGGCGTCAACTGCAAAAGTCCACTCTATTCAGATCTGAATGCATTATTATCCGATACATCACACAGTCATAGACACTTGGTTCCAGACTAAGCACAACCCTGGAACACCTCAGCAAGCGAGAGTCCAAAAGTGGCAGGCTCAAACCCAGAACTGATACCAAATGAGAGACTCCTCCCTGGGCACACAGAAGACGGGGCAACTTGGAAGGCGCTGAACAGACTGCGCTCTGGCACCACGAGATGCAGAGCCAACCTCAAGAAATGGGGCACCAAAGTGGAATCCACGACATGCGAGTGTGGAGAAGAGCAAACCACTGACCACCTGCTGCAATGCACACATGCACAATGGAGGACATTCTTGCAGCAACACCAGAAGCACTCCAAGTGGCCAGATACTGGTCAAAGGACATTTAATCAACTACCAAACTCACAAGTTTTGTATTTTGTCTGTTTGTTTGCTTTGTTCTGTTAGAAATGTAATATAATTGACTGGTTGCCCTGACACGACAAATAAAATAAAATAAATCATCATCATCATCATCTATATCCTGCTTTATCTCTCCCAAATGGGACTCAAAGCAGTAATAATAATAATAATAATAATAATAATAATACTTATTAATATTGTTATCATATATATTTATACCCCACTTTATCTCCAGCCCATCCCCTGTTTGGATATCAGCCAGCACGTCAACGACTTAAATCAATAAATAGTTTTCTAAGATCTACAGAGACACTCGCTGGAACACCTCAGCAAGCGAGAGTCCAAAAGTGGCAGGCTCAAACCCAGAACCTCAATCAATGGCTGATACCAAATGAGAGACTCCTCCCTGGGCACACAGAAAACTGGGCAACTTGGAAGGCGCTGAACAGACTGCGCTCTGGCACCACGAGATGCAGAACCAACCTTAAGAAATGGGGCCACAAAGTGGAATCCACGACATGTGAGTGTGGAGAAGAGCAAACTACAGACCACCTGCTGCAATGCAACCTGAGCCCTGCCACATGTACAATGGAGGACCTTCTTGCGGCAACACCAGAGGCACTCCAAGGGGACAGAGACTGGAAGGAATCCCACTGGAGCATTGCAGCGCACCCAAATACCTGGGAGTCACTCTGAACCGTGCTCTGACCTACAAGAAGCACTGCCTGAACATCAAGCAAAAAGTGGGTGCTAGAAACAATATCATACGAAAGCTGACTGGCACAACCTGGGGATCACAACCAGACACAGTGAAGACATCTGCCCTTGCGCTAGGCTACTCTGCTGCTGAGTACGCATGCCCAGTGTGGAACACATCTCACCACGCTCAAACAGTGGATGTGGCTCTTAATGAGACATGCCGCATTATCACGGGGTGTCTGCGCCCTACACCACTGGAGAAATTACACTGCTTAGCCGGTATCGCACCACCTGACATCCGCCGGGAAGTAGCAGCCAATAGTGAAAGGACCAAAGGCAGTGACATCTCCAGCTCATCCCTTGTTTGTGTATCAGCCAGCACGTCAACGACTTAAATCTAGAAATAGTTTTCTAAGATCTACAGAGACACTCGCTGGAACACCTCAGCAAGCGAGAATCCAAAGTGGCAGGCTCAAATCCAGAACCTTAACCAATGGCTGATACCAAATGAGAGACTCCCCCCTGGGCACACAGAAGACTGGGACTTGGAAGGCGCTGAGCAGACTGCGCTCTGGCACCACGAGATGCAGAGCCAACCTTCAGAAATGGGGCCACAAAGTGGAATCCTCGACATGCGAGTGTGGAGAGAGCAAACCACTGACCACCTGCTGCAATGCACCCTGAGCCCTGCCACATGCACAATGGAGGACCTTCTTGCAGCAACACCAGAGGCACTCCAAGTGGCCAGATACTGGTCAAAGGACATTTAATCAACTACCAAACTCACACATTTTGTATTTTCTCTGTTTGTTTGCTTTGTTCTGTTAGAAATGTAATATAATTGACCGGCTGCCCTGACACGACAAATAAATAGATACTTGGGAAAGGGATCGACTTGTGATTTTGTGATACGAAACCTAGCACAGAGATCTCATTTGCTGTGACATATTGTGGTTTTGTGTCAGTAGAATAATAATAATTATTATTATGGCTGTGGCTTGGCAGCATTTCCTCCTGACATTTCGCCTGCTATTTGAGCACCACCACAACACCAACAATAATGTTATTACTAAAAGTAATAAGGGTCCCTGCTTGACCCCTCCCCACCCCCCACCCCCCACCCAATCTCCCCAGGTAAGCCCCTCCCTCCATTCACCTGCTTGAGGCCATTATCCTCTGAGGTGGTAATAATAAGTGTCCAATAATAATAATAATAATAATAATAATAATAGTCCAACGTGTAATCCAATACAACAGCCAACAGAGTGTCTGCTGAGCACTCATCTTGTTGTGTTTCTAATAATAATAATAATAATAATAATAATAATAATAATAAAGTGTTGTGGAAAGCTTTCACGGCTGGAATGACGGCTCTCTTGTGTGCTTATCCAGGTTGTAGGGCTGTGGTCTGGCAGCATTTCCTCCTGACATTTCGCCTGCTATTCGAGCACCACCACACCACCAACAATAATAATACTATTAAGAGTAATAAGGGACCCTGCATGACCCCCCCTCCACCCAAAGGTATGCCTCTCCCTCCCTGTCTTTAGTAAGGGACCCTGCTTGACCCCTCCCCTCCCCCCTACCTGTCCAGGTGAGCCCTTCCCTCCATTCACCTGCTCGAGGCCATCATCCTCTGAACCCCACCTCACCCCTCACCCACCCAATCTCCCCAGGTAAGCCCCTCCCTCAATTGTGTGCTTATCCAGGTTGTACGGCTGCGGTCTGGCAGCATTTCCTCCTGACATTTCACCTGCTATTCAAGCCACACCACAACACCAATAATAATATTATTACAAGTAATACGGGTACCTGCTTGACCCCCCCCCCCCCCATACGGGTCCCTGCTTGACCCCTCCCCACCCCCCACCCACCCAACCCCCATCTCCCCAGGTAAGCCCCTCCCTCAATTGTGTGCTTATCCAGGTTGTAGGGTTGCGGTCTGGCAGCATTTCCTCCTGACATTTCGCCTGCTATTTCAGCACCACCACACCACCAACAACAATAATATTACTACAAGTAATACGGGTCCCAGCTTGACCCCTCCCCACCCCCCACCCACCCAACCTCCCCAGGTAAGCCCCTCCCTCAATTGTGTGCTTATCCAGGTTGTAGTGCTGCGGTCTGGCAGCATTTCTTCCTGACATTTTGCCTGCTATTCGAGCACCACCACAACACCAATAATAATACCATTACTACGAGTCATATGGGTCCCTGCTTGACCCCTCCCCACCCCCCACTCACCCAACCTCCCAGGTAAGCCCCTCCCTCAATTTACCTGCTCGACCGCCCCCCACCCCCCCACCCAATCTCCCCAGGTAAGTCCCCCCCTCAATTCGCCTGCTACCCCACCCCCTACCAACCCACCCTCTCCAGGTGAGCCCCTCCCTCCATTCACCTGTTCGAGGCCATCATCCTCGGAGGTGGTGGAGGGTCCCATCCGCCGGGAGTCTCCATTGCCGTGGATGGGGACCTCCATGGTGGCCGCCTTGCTCATCAGCCCCTCCGTCATCCTGGACGAGGAGCAGGAGGGGGACAGGTGAGCTTGTGTACCTGCCTCCCAGGTGCACAGGTGCGCTCTAGGCCCCTCCCTCTTTCCTCCCTCTCTCCCGGAACTGGGGCCACGTCGCCTTCCTCCTCCTCCTCCTCCTCCTCCTCCGCCGCCTTGGGCCCCCGGGAGGACCGGAAGCGACGTCACGGCGGCCCCAGAGTCGGGGGGAGAGGAAGGAAGGAAGGAGTCAGGGGGGAGGCAAAGCGGAAGTGACGCAGGAATGGCGGAAAGCGAGCAGCAGCAGCAACTGCGCAGCGTGAGTCTTCCCAAACAAGGGGGCGGGGCCTCCTTCCCATCCCTCCAGGCGCTTTGGACTACAACTCCCACAATTCCTAACAGCCGGGACGGCTGTTAGGGATTGTGGGAGTTGTAGTCCAAAGCGCCTGGAGGGCCCAAGCTAGGCTTTGCTTCCCTAACACTTGGAGATTGTGGGAGTTGTAGTCCAAAGCGCCTGGAGGGCCCAAGCTAGGCCTTGCTTTCCTAACACTTGGGGATTGTGGGAGTTGTAGTCCAAAGCGCCTGGAGGGCCCAAGCTAGGCTTTGCTTTCCCTAACACTCGGGGATTGTGGGAGTTGTAGTCCAAAGCGCCTGGAGGGCCCAAGCTAGGCTTGGCTTCCCTAACACTCGGGGATTGTGGGAGTTGTAGTCCAAAGCGCCTGGAGGGCCCAAGCTAGCCTTTGCTTTCCCTAACACTCGGGGATTGTGGGAGTTGTAGTCCAAAGCGCCTGGAGGGCCCAAGCTAGCCTTTGCTTTCCCTAACACTCGGGGATTGTGGGAGTTGTAGTCCAAAGCGCCTGGAGGGCCCAAGCTAGGCCTTTGCTTTCCCTAACACTCGGGGATTGTGGGAGTTGTAGTCCAAAGCGCCTGGAGGGCCCAAGCTAGCCTTTGCTTTCCCTAACACTCGGGGATTGTGGGAGTTGTAGTCCAAAGCGCCTGGAGGGCCCAAGCTAGCCTTTGCTTTCCCTAACACTCGGGGATTGTGGGAGTTGTAGTCCAAAGCGCCTGGAGGGCCCAAGCTAGCCTTTGCTTTCCCTAACACTCGGGGATTGTGGGAGTTGTAGTCCAAAGCGCCTGGAGGGCCCAAGCTAGGCTTGCTTTCCCTAACACTCGGGGATTGTGGGAGTTGTAGTCCAAAGCGCCTGGAGGGCCCAAGCTAGCCTTTGCTTTCCCTAACACTCGGGGATTGTGGGAGTTGTAGTCCAAAGCGCCTGGAGGGCCCAAGCTAGCCTTTGCTTTCCCTAACACTCGGGGATTGTGGGAGTTGTAGTCCAAAGCGCCTGGAGGGCCCAAGCTAGCCTTTGCTTTCCCTAACACTCGGGGATTGTGGGAGTTGTAGTCCAAAGCGCCTGGAGGGCCCAAGCTAGCCTTTGCTTTCCCTAACACTCGGGGATTGTGGGAGTTGTAGTCCAAAGCGCCTGGAGGGCCCAAGCTAGGCTTTGCTTTCCCTAACACTCGGGGATTGTGGGAGTTGTAGTCCAAAGCGCCTGGAGGGCCCAAGCTAGCCTTTGCTTTCCCAAAACTTGGGGATTGTGGGAGTTGTAGTCCAAAGCGCCTGGAGGGCCCAAGCTAGGCTTTGCTTTCCCTAACACTCGGGGATTGTGGGAGTTGTAGTCCAAAGCGCCTGGAGGGCCCAAGCTAGCCTTTGCTTTCCCTAACACTCGGGGATTGTGGGAGTTGTAGTCCAAAGCGCCTGGAGGGCCCAAGCTAGCCTTTGCTTTCCCTAACACTCGGGGATTGTGGGAGTTGTAGTCCAAAGCGCCTGGAGGGCCCAAGCTAGGCTTTGCTTTCCCTAACACTCGGGGATTGTGGGAGTTGTAGTCCAAAGCGCCTGGAGGGCCCAAGCTAGCCTTTGCTTTCCCTAACACTCGGGGATTGTGGGAGTTGTAGTCCAAAGCGCCTGGAGGGCCCAAGCTAGGCTTTGCTTTCCCTAACACTCGGGGATTGTGGGAGTTGTAGTCCAAAGCGCCTGGAGGGCCCAAGCTAGCCTTTGCTTTCCCTAACACTCGGGGATTGTGGGAGTTGTAGTCCAAAGCGCCTGGAGGGCCCAAGCTAGCCTTTGCTTTCCCTAACACTCGGGGATTGTGGGAGTTGTAGTCCAAAGCGCCTGGAGGGCCCAAGCTAGCCTTTGCTTTCCCTAACACTTGGGGATTGTGGGAGTTGTAGTCCAAAGCGCCTGGAGGGCCCAAGCTAGGCCTTGCTTCCCTAACACTTGGGGATTGTGGGAGTTGTAGTCCAAAGCGATGTGTCTGTCTCCTTCCTGTTCCAGCTGCGGGACTTCCTGCTGGTCTACAACCGGATGACGGAGCTCTGCTTCCGGCGTTGCGTCCCGGGCTTACTCCAGCGAGGCTTAGACGGGAGCGAGGTGAGGGCAAAAGGCGCCGGAAGTCCGGGGGGAACCACTTCCTGTGGCCTCTTCCGCCATTCTGATCCCAGCGGGGCCTCTCTCTCCCTTCTCTCTATGGCAGGAGGCGTGCCTGGAGGGCTGCGCGGGGAAGCTGGTCCGCTCCAATCAGCGCCTGATCTCGGCCTACGTGCGCCTCATGCCGGCCTTGGTCCAGCGCCGCCTGCAGGAGGGCGGGCCCGCCAAGCCGGAAGGGGAGGAGCCTCCCTCGCCCGGAAGTGGGGGCTGAAGCCGTGCCCTGCCTCAAATACAAACGCCTGTTCCTCCTCCAAGCCTCCTCATTGGTTGAGCTCACCCAAAGGGGAGGGACATCCGCTGGCCGGCTAGAGCGGACTTCCGGAAGGGCGGGAGGGGGGACGTTAGGCTTCCTTAGCAACGCCCCTGGCAACGCTCACTCTTCTCCTCAGCAGCCATGGAGTCTCCCGCGCCAGAGAAGGGTAAAGCAAGGCCAAGGAGCCCCTGAGCATGTGCAGAGGGCATTGTGTACAGCAGTGGCTCGTTGTAGGCTTTCCTGGCTGTGCTCCAGAAGCATTCTCTCCTGACGTTTTGCCCACAGAGGTTGTGAGGTCATCTTGATTAGCATTTAATGGCCTTGCAGCTTCAAGGTCTGGCTGCCTGCTGCCTGGGAGAAGATTTTCTTTTGCCCACATCTGTGGCAGGCATCCTCAGAGGTTGTGAGGTCAGCTTGATTAGCATTTAATGGCCTTGCAGCTTCAAGGTCTGGCTGCCTGCTGCCTGGGAGAAGATTTTCTTCCTACTAGCCTGGACATCATTCCACAGATACATAAACAGACCCCTCAGTCTCTGACATTGAATGCTTCTGGAACATGGCCACACCGCCCGGAAAACTTGCAGCAATCCACTGCAGAGAGTTCCACTGCTGAACAGCTCTAAGTCCCTATAAAGAGAGAGGGCGATCTAGGAACAAAGTATTATTATTATTATTATTGTGTTGTCAAAGGAAGGCTCTCACTGGGTTGCTGTGAGTCTTCCATCTGGACCTCTTCCAGAAGGAGACTCCAATCCACTCCAGTGCAGAGAGTTCCACAGTTGAACAGCTCTGAGTCCCCATAGGGAGAGAAGGCAGTCTACAAATGGGTTGTCAAAAGCTTTCATGACTGGAATCACTGGGTTGCGGAGCATTTTCCGTATGACCGCCTAACCCTGTGATAAATGTGGACAAAACACCAGGAGAGAAGGCTTCTGGAACATGGCCATGCAGCCTGGAAAACTCACAGCAAGTTAGTGATTACAGCCCGGAAAACCTACAACAACCCAGTATTCCTGGCCATGAAAGCCTTCAAGAATACATTGTTTAGAGCAGTGCTTCCCAACCTTTTTTTGACCAGGGCCCACTCTCCCATATCAGTACCAAAAGGGTTACAAATCAGTTTTTGGTATGGATTTAGTTTGGTTATCTGGGGTGCTGATTCAGAAAATGATATTGGATAGACCACATCAGCTCTAGGTTCTGATGCAGAACATGTTTGGCGAGTGGGCATATTAACAAATGACCCTCCTCATAATCATATAGCAGAGTGAGTAGATCAATAGGTCTGGCGGGAAGGTAAGGTCACTCCATGCAGTCCTGCCAGTGGCCACATGACCTAGGAGGTGTCTATGGACAACACCGGCTCTTTGGCTTAGAAATGGAGATGAGCACCAGAGTTGGGCTCAATTGGACTTCATGTCAAGGGAAAACCTTTACTAGATTTGGTTTGGTTATTTGGGGTGCTGGTTCGGAAAATGGCCTTGGATAGACCACATCACCTCTAGTTTCCAATACAGAACATGTTGGGCGAGTGGGCTTATTAACAAAAGACCCTCCTGAATGTATAGCAGAGTAACATGCAAATGTGAGTAGATCAATAGGTACCGCTTCTGTGGGAAGGTAACAGCGCTCCATGCAGTCCTGCCAGTGGCCACATGACCTTGGAGGTGTCTATGGACAACGCCGGCTCTTTGGCTTAGAAATGGAGATGAATCCTAGAGTTGGAAGAGACCTCCTGGGCCATCCAGTCCACCCCCATTCTGCCCAGAAGCAGGAATATTGCATTCAAAGCACCCCTGACAGATGGCCATCCAGCCTCTGTTTAAAAGCTTCCAAAGAAGGAGCCTCCACCACACTCCGGGGCAGAGAGTTCCACTGCTGAACGGCTCTCACAGTCAGGAAGTTCTTAGAATCATAGAATCCTAGAGTTGGAAGAGACCTCCTGGGCCATCATCCAGTCCAACCCCATTCTGCCAAGAAGCAGGAATATTGCATTCAAATCACCCCTGACAGATGGCCATCCAGCCTCTGTTTAAAAGCTTCCAAAGAAGGAGCCTCCACCACACTCCCGGGGCAGAGAGTTCCACTGCTGAACGGCTCTCACAGTCAGGAAGTTCTTCCTCATGTTCAGATGACCACCAGAGCCGGGCTCAATTAGACTTCACATTAAGGGGAAAACCTTGACTAGATTTGTTTTGGTTATTTGGGGTGCTGGTTCAGAAAATGGCCTTGATAGATCGCATCAGCTCTAGTTTCTGATACAGAACATATGCCACCCAGTAGTCGCCATCCGTTCACCCACAGAAAAGGTTTAATGATGATGATGATGATGATGATAGCATACCCACCACCATCTCCCCAAGGAGACAAGCCCAAACCACATGTAAAAGCAACAGCATTAAAATCTATATAAATAAAAATGTTCTGTTCGTTTGTGGGATTAACATAACTCAAAAACCACTGGGCGAATTGACACCAAATTTGGACACAAGACACCTATCAGGCCAATGGGTGACCATCACTCATCACTGAAAAACACAACAGAAGGGACTTAAAAAGTAAGCAAAAAAAACCCCCAAAACATTACAATGCATGCACAAAACCACATATATACACAAATATATACACACATATATACTTACTTACTTACTTAGGTGATCCCTCGTTGGCCGAGTAGGATAGTCTTCCAGGATCAGTATTCTTGTGGTGACTGTGATGACTGTGGAGCCCTATTCTTGATCTGCATCTTCTCCCTCAGTGAGGGCATTGGTTTCCAGGTGGAAGGCAGTCCTGGTGGGGGTTGCCTCTTTCACCCTCCATTCGTGCCTCTTCAAATTCTGCAGCACTGCTGGTCACAGCTGACCTCCAGCTGGAGCGCTCAAGGGCCAGGGCTTCCCAGTTCTCAGTGTCTATGCCAGAGTTTTTAAGGTTGACTTTGAGCCAATCTTTAAATCTCTTTTCCTGTCCATCAACATTCCGTTTTCTGTTCTTGAGTTCGGAGTACAGCAACTGCTTTGGGAGACGTTGGTCGGGCATCCGGACAATGTGGCCGGTCCAGCGAAGTTAATGGCGGAGGACCATCGCTTCAATGCTGGTGGTCTTTGCTTCTTCCAGCATGCTGATGTTTCCCTGCCTGTCTTCCCAAGAGATTTGCAGGATTTTCCAGCGCTGATATACACACACAACACACACATACGCAGACTGGGTTACAGCAACGCATGGCAGGGGGCGGCTAGTCAATCAATAAAAACATAACACAGACACAACAACAGCATCATAAAAACAACAACATGGCTGTAAACGGAGTCAGAGCTGGTTCCGTGCTCAAGGAAGTGCAATAAATTCCTAGGTAGAGCCCAGGGAAGGTGCAAAAAGTATCAATCTAGATCAGTGGTTCTCAACCTGTGGATCCCCAGATGTTTTTGGCCTTCAACTCTCAGAAATCCTAATAGCTGGTAAACTGACTGGGATTTCTGGGAGTTGTAGGCCAAAAACATCTGGGGACCCCAGGTTGAGAACCACTGATCTAGAGGGAACACCTCTGCCCAGAAAGTGTCAACATTACTGGGGGCGGGCAAACCTAAAGTGCAGGAACTTAGGTGAGATCGAGTCAGTTCTCGGGTCAGCACAATGAAACATCCAAGTTTTTAAATCCTTACGGAAAGTGGGCAAGGGGAGTGCTTGTCTAATCTCCTTAGGGAGGGCATTCCAGAGCTGAGGGCCACCACCAAGAAGGCCCTCTCCCTCGTCCCCACCAACTGCGCTTGAGACGGTGGCAGAAGCGAGAGAAGAGCCTCCCCAGATGATCTTAAGGCATGAGCTGGTTCATAGGCGATGATGCGATCGTGAAGATAGACAGGTCCTGAACCTGCACCTTGAACTGGGACCAGAAACCAATTGGAAGCCAGTGGCGTTGCTTAAACAGAGGGCTTGACCGCTCCCTGTAGCTAGCTCCCATTAACAACCTGGTTGCAGATCTTTGGACCAACTGCAGTTTCCAGGCAGCACCAAGCTAAGTGGTTACAGTAATCCAACCTGGAGGTAACTAGGGCATGGACCACCATGGCCAAGTCAGACTTCACGAGCTGGCGCTCAAGCTCTCAGGCGCTCCTGTCCACTACTAACACAATAATAAGCCTTGGCACTATAAGAGAGCTTCAAGAGACCAGTCACTCTCGTTGCAACGTTGTCGTAACACTGAGGTTGCGAACCATATTGTAGTTCTTGCAGACCACCAGTGGTCCATGGACCACAGGTTAGGAAGAAAGAGATATCTGAATCAAAGGGAAGATAGATGACATTGGGCCAACTTCAGCCCTCCAGGTGTTTTGGACTTCAACTCCCACAATCCCTAACAGCCTATCGGCTGTTAGGGATTATGGGAGTTGAAATCCAAAACACCTGGAGGGAGGGACTGAAGTTTGCCCAGGGCTAAACAAACACCTACGGATCTAATGTAATCTAAACATTTAAGCAGACACTGAGTTATTGTTGTTATCCTTGTTATGTTTATACCCCGCGTTATCTCTCCCCAAGGAGACTCAGTTAGAAGTATTTATTTGTTTACTTCCTGTTTACCTCACCTTTCTCACCCAGGGGGACTCAAGGCAGTTTGCAGCTCCGGCAAGAATTCAGTGCCAGTAAAAACCAACAATAGACGGGAAAATGAACCCCCACAGTTAAAACGATGAACAGTTAATCAATAAGACACGAAAAACAGTATACAAATTAAAAACATGGAATCCTAGAGTTGGAAGAGACCTCGTGGGCCATCCAGTCCAACCCCATTCTGCCAAGAAGCAGGAAAATCGCATTCAAAGCACCCCGACAGATGGCCATCCAGCCTCTGTTTAAAAGCCTCCAAAGAAGGAGTCTCCACCACACTCCAGGGCAGAGAGTTCCACTGTTGAACAGCTCTCACAGTCAGGAAGTTCTTCCTTATGTTCAGATGGAATCTCCTCTCTTGTAGTTTGAAGCCATATAGTGGGTACTTCCAGTCATCCCAGATCCTTGCTCACAATTCTTAATTCAAGACCATGTCGAAACCCATAGTAACTTATTCTTTAAATACTTGTTCTGCAAAGCCAGGTCTTTAGCTTTTTTCTGAATGCCAGAAGGAATGGGGCCTGCCTGACGTAGCTGGACAGGGAGTTCCACAGCCGAGGAGCCACCACTGAGATGGAAGGCCCTGTTTCTCGTTCCCACCAATCGCGCTTGTGAAGAAGGTGGGACCGAGAGCAGGGCCTCCTTAGTGGTGGCTCCTTGGCTGTGGAACGTCCCTCCCCAGGGACATTATTATCTACATAAATAAAAATGCAACGTTTGTTTGTGGGATTAACAGAATTCAAAAACCACTGGACGAATTGACACCAAATTTGGACAGCATACACGTAACAACCCAATGTATGTCCTTCACTAAAAAAAAATATGATTTTGTCATTTGGGAGTTGTAATTGCTGGGATTTATAGTTCACCTACAATCAAAGAGCATTCTGAACCCCACCAACGATGGAATTGAACCAAACTTGGCACACAGTTCTCCCATGACCAACAGAAAATACTGGAAGGGTTTGGTGGGCAGTGTCCTTTGGTTTGGAGTTGTAGTTCACCTACATCCAGAGATCACTGATGGATCTGGACCAAACTCTACACAAAAACTCAATATGCCCAAATGTGAACACTGGTGGAGTTTGGGGAAAATAGAATCTTGACATTTGGGAGTTGTAGTTGCTGGGATTTATAGTTCACCTACAATCACAGAGCATTCTGAACCCCACCAAACGATAGAATTGGGCCAAACCTCCCACACAGAACCTCCATGTGAGCGCCTGCCTGATGTAGCTGGAGTTCCACAGCTGAGGAGCCATCACTGAGATGGAAGGTCCTGTCTCTCATTCCCACCAATTGCACTTGTGAAGAAGATGAGACCGAGAGCAGGGCCTTCTCAGTGGTGGCTCCTTGGCTGGGAACTCCCTTCTCAGGGACATTATTATTAATTACCACTTACCTCTCCGAACGCATCTCCACCTATGAACCGGCAAGAGCGTTAAGATCGTCCGGGGAGGCCCTGCTCTCGGTCCCGCCAGCGTCACAAGTGCGGCTGGCGGGCACGAGAGACAGGGCCTTCTCGGTGGTGGCCCCTCGGCTATGGAATGCGTTACCAGTGGACATCAGGCAGGCCCCTTCGTTGCTGGTGTTTCGAAGGAGGGTTAAGACGTGGCTCTATGAGCAGGCATTCGGTTAGCTATGCAGTAACAACCACCCAATAATGACGGCATTGAACAAGGATTGAATTAAGGACTATGAGAACGGGATCTGATTCTAAGTAAGCGTTGATGATTATGTGTATTGTTCGTCGATGTGTGTCTTATTTATTGTTCACTGTTTATTTTTACTGTAAACCGCATTGAGTCGCCGCTCCAGGCTGATAAATGCGGTATACAAATGGAGTAAATAAATAAATAAATAAATAAATTATTATTATTAATTATTATTATTATTATAAAACTTTATTTATATTCCACTCTGTCTCCCCGAGGGGACTCGGCGAATTCCAGCAGATAAAAAGACCAACATTCAATGCTTTGGTAAAACCATAGATACAAATACAATAAACAAACATCCAAATCCCAAAATAAACCAACATCTAATACCAAATTAGGATGCACCACCTAGAATTAAGTAATATTTCCTAACAATTAAACTATATTTATTTATTTATTTACTTTACTTGTATACCGCAGTTTCTCAGCCCAACAGGCGACTCAACGCGGTTTACAACAAGGATAAAAAACAATCAACGATATACAATTTAAAACCATAAAAGCATAATATACAATATTGAACAACCATAGACAACACAATGCATCTCATAACTAGAGTCGTGATCCAATCCGTCGTCCAATTTCCATTCCTGTAATCATCACATTCATTGCACTGTTTAACCGAATGCCCGTTCAAACATCCAAGTTTTTAATCTTCTTCGGAACACCATTAGCGAGGGGGCTGATCTTACCTCCATAGGAAGGGCGTTCCTATTTATCTAAAGTAAATACATAAACACAATTTGTAAAAACCACCAAAAGTTCTTTTGCAGTATTTAAAATTAGTTATGTGGCCAGAGATGTCAACAGGGCCGATAGAGCCAACAAAGCTGCCCTCGGCTTATACTCAAGTCAAAGTTATTTATTATTTTACTCTGCTATTACTATTATTTTTATTACATTTATTATTTTCCTCTATTATTGGCATTATTACATTTGCATTATTTTACTCTATTATTATTTTATTTCATTTATTTTACTCTATTTATTATTATCATTATTACATTTATTATTTTACTCTATTATTGGCATTATTACATTTGCATTATTATTATTATTACATTTATCAATTTACTCTATTATTATTATTACATTTATTATTTTACTTTATTGTTGTTATTACATTTATTATTTTACTTTCTTTATTATTATTGGAAGGATACGTAAGCACATTGACACTGAAAAAGGTTAGAATAATGGTTTAATCAAAGTTGGTCAGTCTTATTTTAAATTACAGTTTTATGTAAACATTGAAAAACATTTAACCTACTGTTTCCTCAATTAATGTAATTTTATTGGTATCTATATTTATTTTGTATTACCAGTAGCTGCTGCATTTCCCACCCTCGATTTATATTCAAGTCAATAAGATTTCCCATTTTTTGGTGGTAAAATTAGGTGACTTGGTTTATATTCGGGTCGGCTTATACTCGAGTATATACGGTATATTTTAATGTCTGTATGTATATATGTGTGTGTGTGTGTGTATATATGTCATTCTGTATATGAGTGTGTATGTGTGTTTATATCTCCTGCAACCAAAGGGGTCTGCTCCTCAGGGCTGGTATTTTCTCGGGGGGGGGGGGGCTTCTGTGCCTGGAGCCCCCCACTCACCCCTGTGTCCCTCCCTCCCTCCTTCCCTCCCTCCCAGGCCCCGGCATGATTCCACGTGAAGACAGCACCTGGGCCCGCTCCGTGCGGCGGCGCCTGGCGGTGGACCTGCAAGAGGTGGGCCACGCAGAGCCCGGACACGTGGAGGCGCTGGTGGCGGAGCTGCTGGCGGTGCTGGGGGAGGTGCTGCGTCGGAGCAGCCGGGGGGCCTGGCTGCGGCTGATAGAGGCCCTGCGCCTGGTGGCCCCCTTCCGGGCCCTGCTCTCTGGCCGCCCGGAACTGTCCCCCTTCCTGGAGGGCCTCTTCTTCCAGTTCCAGTGCAGCCGGGCCTTGGTCTCGGACCTGGATGTCTTGGGTGCCGTGGCCAGGGCCTTCCCTGAGGACTGTGCCCTGCTGTGGACCCCTCCTCGGGCTGCCTGCCCCCGTGACCCCAGTGACCCTGCCACAGCCCTGCCCCCGGCCCAGGAGCCCCTCTTCGCTGGGATGCCCTGCCCTTTTGTCACCAAGTTGGACGTGGCCCCCGACAGCCGGGAAGTGGGCCTCATCTCCCTTCAGGAACTGCAGCGGAGCTTCGGAGCCGTCGGGAGCCAGGTGGTCCGAGAGGAGTCGGCCCCCGGGAGCCTAGGCATCATGGGGCTGGCCCTGGCTGCAGCCATCCCGACCCAGTTCCTGGAAGAACCCTCCGACGCCGCAGAGTGAGTTTGTGGAGATTTGGGGCATCCCTTTAGTGGGAAAGGCTCCAGATGGGTTCCTTGGTGGGAGATTTGGTGAAATGTGGTACCAGAGTTTATAGCAAGCTAAGGGCAGGAGTGAGGGCAGAAAGGCCAGCCACCTCCCCCACACACAGGGCTTGACTGACAAACAACCAAACTGGTCAAAGGTGTTGCATGAAGTCCCCAAGTTACAAACAAGAAAGGTTCTGTAGGTTTGTTCTTAAACTTGAATGTGTTTGTAAGTCAGAACAGGGGAATTTTTAATTGTAACTTCAGAAACACACACACACACACATATCAGCTTTGGATCACATAGGGAAGTGTTGGGACACACTGCCATATCCCTCTATTATGAATTGACTCAAAGACCTCCAAGGTCTCTTTATCCACTCAAACACTGGAAGTAACAGGTTTATTTGATCAAGTCACCCTGCCGGGTAAACAGAAGGAAGTGCCATGCAAAGCTGAGACACAGCTCAGTTTTATAGTTAACACCTTGAGCATGCACACAGGCTATTTTCAGGCTATTTTCTTTGATTTGTGCCTCATTTCTATCATTTCCCTTTTGAACTTTCCCTTTGCCTGTGTTATGAACTTCAATTCCTTTGATCCAGAGCGAGATAAGGGCCTAATTCTTCTGTTCTTCTCAAACCCTCTGGTTCATCACATCCTCTGCTTTGGTTGGTAATTTCCCACTACTTCCTCAGCTCTAATCCCTTCAGAAGGGTGGACACTCCTGTGGACTTTCTTTTGCTGTCTGTGCCCCAGTTCAGAAGAGTTCGCCTCACTTTCTGTCCCTGTGAGAATTGGATCTTGAAAAATAAATGGCTTGTTGGTGCCTTTCCCCCGAGAACTCTCATGAGTGGACTTTCCTTCCGAGGAGAAGATTCCTCTCACCTCCTGTTATCCCAACCCTGTTCTTCACTAAGAGTTGGTTGTAAGTTGGATGTTTATAACTCATGATCTGCCTGGGCAGCACCGGGGGGGGGGGGGGGGGTTTCCAGATTAGTTTTCACTTGTAAATCTAAGGTTTGGTGACATTTCATACAAGAGCTTCTAGCACGCTAAGGGCAGGAGTGAGGGCAGAACTGAGTTCAGCTTCTTCGGGCCAGGTAAAAGAGGAACAGGGTTCCCCATAGCATCAGGAGAGATGGAAGTGTCTCGTTCTGGGCAAAGTGGGCAAAAAGGCAGCTCCAGAGAACAAGGAGTTGCTTGTGAGAACAAACATGCAAACAGGAAGTTAGCAACCAACAATGATCTCGAGCCGCTTTTAGGGGGATCTCCCCAACCGAGGAGATCCCGAGGACCGCACCAAAGAGGGTCCCTGAACCTTGGCGAGGGCAGCGAAGCCAATTCCAGCAGCAGAAAATATTAAAAATAATAAATCCTCGCCAAAGCGGAAGAAGATGGCAACCGAGGCATTTTTATTAGCGATTCAGCTGAGATCGGATGCATTGTAGGAATAATTCCACCACAAGCATACCAATACAGAATTTACAGGCATTTTTATAGGCAAAATACAGGAAAACATTTCAAATTTTTCCGCCCGCCCCTCTCCGCCCGGCTTCTTGCTGATTGGTTAGACATTGTTTTGGCCAGCAAAGGTTGATTTCATTAAGAAAGGTTTTCCTGCCTTAGATCTGATAAGGTGTGTCTTCTGATGGATTTTGAGAAAGGAACAAACAGGGACCCCTGGGGTCAGCCTTGTCCCTTTGTGATTCAATCAATTGTCCATGCAAAGTGTTTGGTCATTTGGCTGGTTTCGAGGAAGCTTGGCTCTCCCTCAGGCATCTTAACAGTCCCTGGTCACATTTTTCTAGGGCAAAAGTCAAGGGGGAAAGGCAAAGGGGCAAGCAATATTTCATACATGTTCAAACAATATATAATTAATACAGAAAAGATCCCGTCCCCAACCCACATCCCAGACATTTAATTATCATTTTTATTTGAAAACCTGGAGTCTAAAGTTTTAAAAGGTCTTTGAGGAAAGTTCATGAGGGAGATAGTATGTACTGAAGTCCAAGACATGCAGGCAGAGAGTCCATGATCATTGGGAAGGCTGGCAGGATGAAACCCCAGCTGTGCTGCAACTGATTCACACTTTGGTCCTTGGGAAACTACAACTCTCACGAAGGGCAGAAGTCCCAAGATCCAGCCGTTTCCCAAAAGCCTCATAGGGTCCTTGTTGTTGTCAGTGTCTTGGCAATGTGACCAAGACTTAACCCCTATTGCGCAGTCTGGTACCTTTGTCCTTTGCAGCACTATAAGTCACTATCCCTTATTTTTTGGGGGGGGGGGGTGCTCAACATCAGCAACCCTTTACAACTAGCTCTGGGTTCAGTAGGCAAAGGATACTGACACCACCACCACCACCTTTCTCTTTCCTGCTGCAGACCCTCTGCGTGGTTTGGCCAAGAGACCCCCGGAGCAGCCCCAGTGCCCCAGAAAGAGGAGAAGGAGGAGGAGGAGAAGAAGGCTGGTAGGGGGACTCCACTCAGCAAGGCACCACCCATTACCGGCCTCCAGGCAGCGGAGATTTTTGCCACCAGCCGCCACGCAGGCCGGATCAGGTTCCTGTACCTCAACGTGGCCCCCAACCGGCATTTCAGGTAGCCACAGAGTCGGCCTTGGCTGCCACTCCCCACAGGAGGCTCTGCCTGTGCTTGGCCCCTCTAGCACTCCCCCGGCTGCTTTGGGGGCAGAGAAGAAGGGGGCTGGTTTTGCTCCTTCCTTAATTGGGGGGGGGGGTTCCTCACATGAGCAGTAGAAGGTGCATGTGGAGCTCTTTCGTGGTCTCTTCTCTAAAGGAAGGAGAGAAGTGACTGATGGGAGGGGAAAGGTGGAGACAACCTGTCCTGGAGCCCCTGCCTACCTTCCTGCGGCTGGAGAGCCCATGATGCTCTTGCACCTGTCCTTTGGAGAGTGGCCTGAGGAGGTCTCTGCCCCAAGGAGCCTGCACCGGGATTGTGGCGCAGCTGGCTGAGTGTCAGCTGCATTAAGATCACTCTGACCAAAAGGTCATGAGTTCAAAGCCAGCCCGGGTTGGAGTGGGTTTCCAACCAATTGTGTGTAGCCTGTTGTCAACCTTTGAAACCCGAAAGACAGCTGCATCTGTCAAGTAGGAAAATTAGGTACCACCTTAAAGTGTGGCGAGGCTAAATTAACTGATTTATGAGGCCATAAAGAAGACTCCAGCAAAGCATTCCAGCGGGGAAGCATGCGGGGAATGCGGAAGTGCTTCATCAGCGTCGCAGATGGACGATGAAAGCGACAGCTCCCCTGGCGGCCAGAAAAAGTTAAATAGCCTCTGTGTATGTCTGTATATGTTTGTATGTCAAAAATTGGCATTGAATGTTTGCCATATATGTGTTCACTGTAATCCTCCCTGAGTCCCCTGCAAGGTGAGAAGGGCGGAATATAAAAGCTGCAAATAAATAAATAAATAAATAAATAAATGAGAGGCCAAGACCCTTGGTTAGACCACACCAGGAATATGTGTCCAATTCTGGGCACCACAATTGAAGGGAGATGTTGACAAGCTGGAAGGTGTCCAGAGGAGGGCAACTAAAATGATCCAGGATCTGGAGAACAAGCCCTATGAGGAGCGGCTTCAAGAGCTGGGCATGTTTAGCCTGCAGAAGAGAAGGCTGAGAGGAGACATGATGACGGCCATGGATGAATATGTGAGGGGAATATGTCATAGGGAGGAGGGAGCCAGCTTGTTTTCTGCTGCCCTGGAGACTAGGACGCAATGGAGCCATGGCTTTATTTATAGTATTTATATTCCTCCCTTCTCACCCCGCAGGGGACTCAAGGCGGATTACAATGTACATACACATGGCAAACATTCAATGCCATAGACACACAACATATATCAACAGACACAGAGGCAATTTAACTCCAGCTTTCTGTGAGGTATTCTGGCCACCAGGGGAGCTGTTGCTTCACCGTCTATTTGTGACACTGATGAAGTACTTCCTCATTCTTTGCAGGTTTGCTGGATATTTTTATGGCGTCGTAAATAAGTTAAATTAGCCTCCCTGCATAGGCGGTACCTAAATTTCCTACTTTACAGATGCAGCTGTCTTTTGGGCAGCAAAAGCTACACAAATTCGTCGGACACTCACTCTGACCCAGTGAGATAGTGTTAGAATTAAGCTAGGAAAAATATGCCACCAAAATGGAGGCGATCCGCCGTCTCGCGGATACGGGGGCCCAGGGGATTTCTGTATCCGCGGTTTGGGGGAGCGCAGATTCGGCCTCCCCGGAACGCCAAGAAGGCATTCCGGGCAAAGCTTAGTCTCATGAAATTAGATAGTTTCAGGCAAGAGGAGACACAAAGTATCAAGCTAGAGAGTTAAAAGTTGCAAACTTCAATAATCTTTATTTAGGGATTAGTTACATTGTTGAGGCTAGCAAGGGAGTGAAAGGAGAGAGCACACGGCTGTGCAGAGTCCCTGGTTGAGCTTGCTGTTGGGGCACATTTCATCAGTTTGGCCCAATCTTTGCATCCAGGAACTGTGGAACTCCCTGCTGCTGGTCACACCATCTTGAAGGCAGGGGCCTGGGATGCCCTCGATGACACTTTGAATGCGGTTTTCCTGCTTCTTGACAGAATGGGGTTGGACTGGATGGCCCACGAGGGCTCTTCCAACTCAATGGGCAGTCCTGGCAGTGGTGGGGCAAGGGCTCGCTCTCCCACAGCAATGCCCCCATGCCCTCATTCAGGGTCCTTGCCCTTTGCAGGCCCTACGACCTGGTGGCTGTGCCCAAGCACCTGACCCACCCGCAGCACTACGTCTTCTCCCCGTTCGGGGTGCTGCACGTCCGGCCGCGGGAGGGCTCTGAGGCCTACTCTCTGGGCGAGTGGCACCGGGAGGCCGTCCTCTGGCAGCTGCTGCAGTACATCCCCTTCTTCCGGCTCTTCCTGGTCCGCAAGGCCTTTGCCTGGTGAGGGGCAGCGAGGGGAGGGGAGGGGAGGAGGGCAGGACCTTCTTGGGGTGTGGGGGGCTCCTACGGGGTGGCTCAGCCTGAGCCCTGGCCCCTCTGCGCCCCTCCCAGCTGGTGCTGCAACGTCAAACACCTGCAGCGGCTGAAGCGGACCGAGAAGCTGCGCCTGCACCTGCTCCAGGCGGTGCCACACTTTGGGGAAGCTCTCCTCCAGATATCCAGGTGAGGAGGCGGGAAGGAGGCTGAACCCCCCACCCCACTCCGTCTCCTTACTTCTATAGCTCCCACACGGCTGCTACCAACCCCATCTCCTTCCCCCCCCCCCAAAAAAAAAGACTCCTGCAGGAACTGTGCTCTGCCCACTGGCTGCCCATCAACGACGTCCGGTGCTACAGCTTCCCTGACCTCCGAAGGGCCCTGGTGAAGGAGAGGAACTTCACCCAAGGCCTCCTCTGCCACTTCCTCACCGTTTGCTCATCCATCCTGGAGATGGTAGGTAGGGCTGGGCGGTTTCGTAATTTCGTAATTCGTTAAAAATTCGTTATTTTTTTTTTGTTACGAAGCGATAATGAACCATTCAGGAGCATCTAAAAAACGAAACGAATTTTTCAATTCGTTTCGTAATTGCTTCGTATTCGTTTCGTAATCGTTTCGAAATCGTTTCGTTATTATTTCCGCATGTCTGGGGCAAGTTTTATAGCTGTTGTTTGTTTAATCAGTGAAAAAAAATTATAAATATCACACCAACAGTCAACAACAGAGGGAGAGGGAAGCTTCAGAAGTTCCCCCTGTCCCATATGGAGGTTTTTTAGCGTATTGTGCGGTCGCGTCCGCCGTTAACGAATCGATTCGTATTCGTTTCGTATTCGGTTCGTATTTGTTTCGTAATTTTACGAAATTTCGTAAATATCGAACTTTTTTAAAGAAAAATTTTGGAATTCTTTTAAATATCGAAACGCAAAAAACCCCCAAAAACGAATTGAGTTTAGAAACAAATTTTTCCGTGGTTGCCCAGCCCTAAATGGTAGGTAGGGATGGACAAACCAAGAGCGCTTCCTTCGGTCCTTGTGGGGCTTTCAGGGCCATCTCATCTGGTTTTCAGTTCATGTCCCAGCAGCTTGAGAGCAGGAACTTTTAGTCTTTGCTTTTGTGGCTGATGCCCCACTTGTGGTTCACGTAAAGTAGTCTTCAACCCTGAGAAGGCACCATGCAATCCCTCTCCTGTCACGCGCCTCTTACGTGCCTTTCTCTGGCAGGTGCGTAAGGACACCTACAAATTGGTGCAAAGGATGCAGACAAGCGTGGAGAGCTACAAGCCATACCTCAGCCGGAAGTCGCTCTACAAGCAGCGGGTGCAGTTCGAGCGCCTGCAGTGCCGCTTGCAGGAGACTGAGTCCTGGCTGCAGAGGCTGGGCCTCCTGGCGCTGCTGGTCAACTTCCTCATCTGCCAGACCCTGGTCTCCGCCATCCAGGAGGACGTTGTCGCCTTTGTCGGGCGCACCATGAAGGCAAGAGGGTCCTGTTACCTGGGTCCTGTGTGCGTGTGGGGGAGACCCTTTGCCCCTTACCAGAAGCGCCTGTGTGTTCACTGGGCCGCTTTGCTCCTTTGCAGGTCCAGAGCGCTGCCCGGAAAGCGGTCATCCAGGTGCGCCTGGTGTTTGGCGAAGACAGCCAGTTGGAGCTCTTCCCCTCCAGCCAGGAGCTGAGCGACTGCCTCTTGGGGGCTGTGGAAGCTGTCTTGGAGTCAGTCCTGCAGGTTGGCTGGCTCCTCCCTCCGGAGACTAATGAGCACGATAATCCTCATCATCCTAGGGGACTTGGGGAGGCTGGCAAGGGCTCCGGTGCCCACTACCCCTGCCCCCAGCTGAGTCCGTACCATAGGGCTGGCTGCTGGAGTCTTCCCCAAACCTTGCCTTGTCCTTCAGACGACCTGCATCCAAATGGAGCTGCCGGAGACCAAGGAGGGACCGAAGATCACAAATCTGGAGGAAGAGTCCCATGCAGCCCCACACAGTGGTGAGCCAGGAAGAAGGGAAGAAGGCTCACCTGGGCATGGCCACCCCCCACCCTCCAACCCCCCTTCCATGCCCAGTCTTGTCTCTTCTTCCTATAACCTGTTTCTTGGGCAACCCACTTTGAAACAAGTCTCCGTGAGATGTCATACGGGGGTTACCAGGTGTGACAGGTGGAAGGCGTACAGAACGGTGCCCCGTCTATGTGCTGCCAAATCTGCGCCTTTTGTTCTTGCTCAACCGGAAGAGACCACTCCTCCCCAGAACTTATCCTTTGGTTGCGTCATACTTGGCGGCATTATGGATGCTTTTCTACTTCTTGGATGGGCGTCCTTCGTGGTTGTTCTTTCAGGTTGGAGCACGGAGGAAGCCATGCGAGTTGGGCCTAGCCTTTGCCGACAAGCTGCCTCCTCCAGACCCGCTTCCTTCCCCGATTTGCCCAGAACCGGGCTCTCCAATGCTTACGCTGCTGTGCTTGTTTGAGGTCCCTTTCTCCAAGCCTCAATCCTTCCTTCCCATTTCTGTGTCCTCTCCCCTCACAGCCATCTCCGTCATCGGCCACAGATGTTGAGAACTGTTAAGAACCTGGTGTTCTTTATGATCCAGAGTGAGATAAGGGGACAATCATCCATACTCGCAACACACCCCTCCAGAAAAGGCAATCAGTCTTTCTGAAAAGGGTCAGATGTTCTGTTGCTGCGGTTCAGGAGGTGTGATCAGAGTTGGGAAACCCTGGTGTCTTATACCCTGTTAGCATCAAGTTGCCAAAACATGCTGTTTTGAGTTCCACAACCTTGTCCAAGCTCAACAATTCAGGGAACATCCCGTGATTCAAGGATGCGGTTTCCACATTCGCATTTCCTGATTTTTTCCTTTCTTCGGCTGCCGAGTCCTCCCTTATTAATGCATCGCGTGAACTCCATCTTCTTTGGCCTGTTTCTTCTCATCTTCACAAGCACTCTGGTTCATCACATACATACATACATACCCCCTCTTGATACTAAATCGTGTTGGCGTGTAGCAGAGTATCGCAGAAGCTCAGAATAATGGACTCTGGAGTCTCCGGTAAAAGCAGATTTTCAGCTTTACTTAAGTAGCTCAAAATAGACAACATACACCATCAGCGGACAGACGTGAAGAACACAAACCAAAATAGATAGGAACTAATACAAACTGCAGCTGGAAGGAAGTTTATCTCTGGCACTCCCTAATCTTTCACAGAGCAAGAACTCAGGGCCACATTCTCACAGCTTCTTACTTGGCTGTTTAACCCTTCTGTGTCAAACTACATCCTGGCAATACAATTCTATTACAATCACAATCCTATCACATAAAATTACATTTAAACAGACATTATACATGAATAACACACTGACAAATCGCAATTCATATGGTTCTACTTTTATTACATGTCAAAGCAGTTTTGCATTTTTTCTGAACATCTCATAAGCCATAAAATCCATATGATTAAACACAGCGTGATTAAACATATCTATATAATAGGGCATATGAAAGAGTGCAGGAAAGCCGAAGCTTTGGGTGAATTAAAGGAACAGACGGGTGCTTCCGCTATCAATCTCGAGGTGTCATCAGAGCCGGGCTGCTCCAATGGCTTCTGCGTACGCTGCTGGTGCATTCTGGGCTGTGCTTGTTTGAGGCGCCTTTCTCCAAGCCCCAACCCTTCCTTCCCGTGTCTGTGTCCTCTCCCCTCGCAGCCATCTCCGTCGTTGGCGGCAGCCTCGGCACCTTCGAGGCCTCCTCTTCTGTCTTGCCCAAGGAGATGGTGCATCTGGAGCAGATGTGCAGTATGGATCTGTACTGGGACGAGCCCAAGTTGGTGCACCAGCTGGACCAGAAGGCCTATGGGGGCCTGGAGGTGGTGGGCCACCGCCTGCGGAGCGAGTACCCCTTGCTGTCCCGGGTGCAGCTGGAGAAGGACCTGCGCTCAGACGCCATCATCCAGGAGGCCCTGGCCACCCAGCAAGCGCTGCTCAAGGTCAGGCCCCCGGAAGAGAGCCTCTTGGCCCGGAGCAGCCAGGCAGCCTCCGCCCCTGTCTGTGTCCAAGCAGACCAGGTCACGCTGCTATGTGTGGCCCCTGCCATGCTTCCCTTGCTTCAGGCCGGAGTGGGGCCAGCTCCTTCTCCTGCCCTCTTGGACCCTACTTGGGGGAGGGGGGAGTCCAGGGAGGGTCTAGGTGAGGGCAGGTTGGCAAAAAGATTGCATCCAGTCCCAGAAGCAATAGACCTCACAGCGGGGTGTGATGCCTTTCTCCCAGGAAGTTGTGAGCTTCTGAGTCCAAAAACAGAGACCCAGATCCAGGCTGTGAACGTTTCTCCCCTCTTCTGTCCCGCTGTTGCCTGCAGGCCGCACTTGAGGAGACCCAGATGCTGTGCCAGGAGTACTCCTGGCTGGGCGAGATCTACCTCTTTGCCCACAGCTGGGGCCCCGACCACCTGGAGAGCATGAAGGGCTGGCCGGCGGAGGAGTATGTCAACCGGGTGGTGAAGCTGCGCTCATGGGCGACCCGGGTGCAGAACGTCCCGCGCGAGGTGGTCACCTACAACAGCCTTCTCCTTGTGGACTGCAGCGGCATCCACCAGGACATCCGTGAGCCTCCCTGCAGGGTTTGAGGGCTGCAGGGGCTCCAGGGGCCAACTCCTGCGGGGCTAAAGCCTCTTTCTCCCCCCTTCCCTTCCTCTCTGGGCAGTGCCTTTGCTCGACTCTATCAACAAGGACATCCTGTTGCTCCTGGTGAGCGAGATCACTCAGCGCAGTGAGGACTTAATTGCAGAGCTGTCCGCAGTGCTACAGCTGTACATGACTGTGGGCAACGACATCCTGACCATTGCCAAGTGCTCCCAGAAGGTGGGCTGCCACTGTGCCCTCATGCGTCCACACAGCCCTTTCTCTGCTCCACCCCTTCCTTCCTCCCTATCTCCTTCTTGGGACGGGGCGTCAATATCTGCCTGCCCCTTCCTCTAGCCACTGCCCCCTTGCCCCATCCCCTTCTGCTGCCCTGCCACCCCCTGCGCTTCCTTCCTCCTGTGAGCAGCCAGGGATCTGCGGCTACCAGGGCCAATGCTACAGCCCTCCTTGTGTGGCACCATTCTTCTCTACCCTCACCATGACCAAAGTGCAAGGGCATGGGAGGAGGCCTCTGCAGCTCCATCGTTGTCCTGTCTTTGGAGGCAGAAGAAGACGGCGGTTGGTGGAGGTGCAGCGGAGGCAGAGGGGGGACGAGGCAGACGTTTTTGCAGCATCTGTGGGGTGCAGCATCTTTGGGGGTGCCTAAGCTGTTCAGGGTTTTCTGCTTTGCGGGGTTCCCTGCAGACCTAGCACCACAAAAGCAAATAGTTTTTGTAACCTTTGTATGGTCAGAATGTTTGTTTTGCCAGTTCTAATTTTGTTAAGCCACCTTGAGTCATGGCGTTTGCTTGTGAAGAAGCTGCCCCGCTCTCTCTGTGGGGTTTGTGTGCGTGTTTGTGGAGGCTCCCTGGGGCTTGGGGTCACTGTCTGTGTGCTGCTTAAGGTGAAACAGATATGCTGGGTAGGCTCACTATTGCTACCCCCACGTGTTGGACTGAGGCGGCGTCCTCCTGCCCCCCCCCCCCGACTGAGGCCACATCTGCCACAACTGAAGTCCCCCTCCCCTCTCCAGCTGGAGGAGTACCAGGGGCAGATGAAGGAGCTGCAGGCATATGTGGACTACGTCCGGGCCCTCAATGAGGTCATCCAGCAGTGCTTCCGGCCCCTCAGCTCCCGCGAAGAGAGCCTGGAGAACATGGTGAGGGCCCACAAGGGAGACACCCCAATTGCCACCTCCCCAAGAAAGGAAAAAAATGAGGTTGTCAGCTGAGGTGGATTCCCCTTGGACCATTTCGTTATGTGGAATGTGGGGATGTGGTGGGGGGGGGGTGGATGCCAGCAGGAGGAGGGTGGGGTCCAGGGGCCAGGATGAGCCTTTGGTAAGCCCAAGAACATGGCCAGTCCTTGGGGGCACTTTGGTTTCCAGTGAGGGCTGGCAGGGACCCCCCAGAAAAGGCCAAGGGGCCGACGTGCCTTCTGGAGTCACAGGTCCTCTCCTGGGGCGGGACCCTGCATTCTTCCCTCATTTGAGGCTGTTTTTTGAGAGCGGCACCCCTCCTTTTTTCTCAGCTGCAAGCGTCCCACTCAGGCCCCATAGAGTCCCACATGCCCCTGCTTTCATTGGAGCCCCTCACTTATTGCTGGTGTTTTGAGAGGGACTCTGAAGAAAGTGTGGCCGATGGTGGGGAGTGTGTACCTTGGAGAAGGAACAGCACCCCTCCCTCCCCTGGTGCTCTGTCCAAATAGTGGTGGTGGTGGTGGTGCAAGGCCCGTGTGCTACGGATCAGGCACCCCCTGCTGCTCCAAGTAGGGAGGAACCCCTCCCCATTTGTGGCATGCCCCTGACCACCACCACCTGACCCCTCCCTTCCTTCCTTCCTTCCTCTCTCTTGTGCAGCTCATGGACACCTGGGATGCCTTTGTGTACCAGCAGCGGGAGGTTTCAGACTTCATCATCTCCCGGCGCCTGAGCATCATTGTGGAGCTGAGCAGCTCACTCCAGAAGGCCCTGGGGGAGCTGCAGGAGTTGCTTGCCATGGTGACAGTGGGGCGCTTCCAAGACTCTGCCCAGAACCCCCGGGCCATGGAGGAGGAGCTCCAGGCCCTGCTCCAGCGCTTCCAGTCCATCATGATGCAGGTGCAGGACCTCCGCCGCTCCCAGCGCATCCTGACAGGTGTGTGTGTGTGTGTCTGTGTGTGTCGAGATGGGAGATCTCGAGGGGGCGTTCCCTGTGGGCAGCCAGTGAGCCTGTGGCCATCTGCGCTCCGTTCACAGGGGAGGCCATGGATGTCTCCTTCGTCACCGGGAAGCAAGGCATCATTGAGATCCAGGCACGGATCTGGCAGCTCTACCGCATCATCTCGGAGCAGATCACAGAGTGGAAATGCCTGGCCTTTGCCAAGGTAGCGGCGGGAGCCTCCCCATGGGCTCCCTCCAGAGCCACCAGCCCACCAGCACTCTCCTGGCTCAGTGGGCTGCCTCTCCCTTTCCCCTTCCACCTCTGCCTTGGTAGCACCCACCTGCTTTTGCCGGTTCAGGGGCCCCTTTCCCCGCAGTCCGACCTCAGCCACTCTCCCACCCTCCTCCCACATACAGTTCAGCCCCAGTCAGGCCATGGAGAAGACTGAGGAGTGGCAGAAGGAGGTGATCAGCATTGAGCGCTGCCTGCCCAGCCCCCACCCTGTCCTGCAGGCCTGCTTGCGGAAGATCGCCAACTTCCAGAAGTACCTCCCTCTGCTCCTGAAGCTGGGCAGCCACTTCCTCAAGCTCAGCTGCTGGAAGGAGATATTTGCTGGTGAGGCGCTTCTTTCCCTTCTCGCTCGCAGAAGGTGTGGGTTGTGAGAGATGCACAAGTGGCGAGCTCCTCCCGTGCCCTGCTCTCTTCCAGTGATGGGTGTCAAGTGCCCCATGAACATGCAGTTCACACTGGGCCAGCTCCTCTCCTACCCCCTGCTAGAGTACAGCGATGCCATCTTTCGGGTGAGCAGCCCTGCTTGGCAGGAAGCCTTGCGGCACCAGCAACTCTGGAGGGGCTGACCGTTGTAGTGGGAACTGGGAAGACCCTCCTTGGGTCTTCCTTCCTTCCCTGCCACAGGGTGGTCTCCCTGTTTCCTTGCCCCCAGGTCTACGCCTGGGAAAAGAGCCGTCACTATGCCCGGGACAACCTCTACCGCCTCCAGCGGACCTGGACTGAGAAGCAGTTCCGGCTGGTGAAATTCATCCTCAACGTTCCCTACCAGGAGCAGCAGCCAGAGCGCTTCCGCCACCCTGTCGGTGGTCACACCCGCTCTGCCAGGGTGGAATATATCTCCAAGGACAGCGGCACCTACGTCTTGTCAGGTGAGGCCCAGCGGAGGGAGAGTTGCTCTCCTCAGGCAGCGGGCGCTCTTCTGTTCCTCCAGCCGTGCCATTGGTCAGCGGGCCTTTCTGCCTTGGGCTAGAGGCTTTGGAGCACCTGGGATTCCTGGGACTGAGGAAAGAGAGACAGGTCCCTGGACCCCCTTTGTCTGCACTCTGCACCTGAGAAGCAAGCTACTCTCCATCACCAGGTGGGAGTGGGCCTCCGGTGCTTCCCAGATGCTCAACGCTCCTTCCAGGTGCCAGCATCCGTAATATGCGTTCAAAGTGCTGATGTGTGTATTGCCCCAGGCTGTGTGTCCCAGGCAGGCCTCACTTGGCGCTCGCAGTGCTTGTGCCCTGCAGGAATGGCCTCAAATAAAGCCTGAAGAAGAAGCAGGAGGAAGAATGGAGGAGAGCTCCCATGCTGTGTGGACTGAGCTCTCCCTGCCTTGCTTCTCTCCTGCTGTAACAGACATTGCAGGGCTGAAGACTTCCCTGCAGAACAGTCTCCTGACTCTCCAGAATATCATCCTGTCTCCCTTCTCTTCTGAACTCCTGGAGGAGGCAGAGAGCTGGGCAGCCACACTGCGGACCTTCGGTGAGGAGAAGTGGTGGGCAGAGCGGGACAAGCCTGAATGGCCCGGGCCGTTTGGGAGGGAGGAATGGACTGGGAAAGCGACCGAGGAAGGAACGGACTGGGTTTGCACCCATGGAAGGGACGGCTTGACCCTGCCTTGCTTTTTGGTTCCATGGTCTCCAGATTCCGTGCTGGAAGCCTGGGTCAATTTCCAGCAAAAATGGGTTTTCCTGAATATCGTCCTCTACGAGATGAATATTAGCCTACCAAGTGAGGAGCTGGTGAGTCTTGCGGCCCCTTGTTTGCTGGTCACAGCAGCCACAGCAGCAGATACCTTAGCTAACCGTGTTACCAGGGAGGGAGGGAGGGCCCCTTTTATCCCAACTGTGCCCCCCTCAATGGCCCACCCTCCACCTCTCTGCAGGATTCCCGGTTTCAACGGGTGGACGCCTTTTTTCGGGAAATCATGCAACTGACCTGCAACGACCCCCTCGTGTTGTCCTGCGTCAGGGTAGCTTTAGGCAAGTGCCGTGACAGCCTCTTCGTAGGAAGCTGCCTGCAGTCTGCGTTTGTGGAGGGATCGGCGGACCTCCTGGTCATCATCCGGGCCCTGGATTACGTCCTGGAGGCCACGCGCATGGGATTCCCTCGCCTCTTCTTCCTCAGTAACGAAGAGGTGGTGGCCATGATGGCCACAGCATCGGAGCCTGCGGATGCCTCCGCTTGGGCCCAGCGCTGCTTCCCTGGCGTGCGCCGTCTGATGCTCAACGTGCCCTCCGCCACCCAGGACCTCAGCACATTTTCAGTAGAACTCCCAGTGGTGGAAGTGAGGGGTTTGGTGGGGGACCATGGGGAGAAGCTGGACCTGTGCCAGGTGGTCCCCATTAGCCGGAAGGCCACACAGTGGCTCTGCGCCCTGGAGCAGCGGATGAAGGAGACTGTCTTCTACCAGATCCAGGAGTGTGTAGCCCAGCGCCTGGCCCTGCGCTCGCAACTTGACCTTCCCTTTGAGCGGCGCCCAGGCCCTATGGAGCTGCCCCTGCACTTGCTGGCCGAGAACTGGGCAACGCTGGGGAGCACCTTCCCCTCTCAGTGCGTGCTGCTGGCGGAGGAGGCCTTGTGGCGGGTGGCGGTGGAAGAGACCCTCTCGAACCCAGATCGCCTACCTGTGTTTCAGCTCAAGTTGAGCCTGAAGCTGGAGGCCCTGACCCACTATGTCCGCAATTACCGTGGCACCCATGCCTGGAACCCCCAAGAAGACCAGCTGGGCATGCTGCTAGGGGCCCTGATCACTTTGGCCATCCACCAGCGTGACATCTTTTCCCAGCTCTTGGAGTACAATGTGAGCTCCCCGCAGGCCTTTGAGTGGGCGCGGCAATTCAAGTACCATGTGGTCCTGCATCATGACAGAGCCCAGGTAGCGGGGCTCCCCTCGAACAGCCCCTGGTTTGGCAGCCCCCCCGGCTGCTGGGCTGAAGTCCTTGACAGCCACTTCCCATATGGCTATGAGTTCCTGGGACCCACCCTGCGCCTCCTGGGGAGCCCTTCAGTTAACAGGGGCCTCCTGGGGCTGCTGCTGGCCTTGGATGAGTTCCGTTGTGGAGGCCTGCTGGGGGCCCCCGACACGGGAAAGTCCCACATGATGCAGGGTCTGGCACACGCCTTGGGCCGTCAGCTGGTTGTGGTGAGCTGCACCGCCCAAATGTCCATCAGCTGCCTCTCCCGATACCTCTGTGGGGCAGTGCATGCAGGGGCTCTGCTGGTGCTGGATGCGGCCGAACAGCTGGAGACGGCGGTACTATCCGCTTTCAGCCAGCGCCTGGTGGACCTGCAGAGGATGTGCCTGAGCCTGCAGACAAGCCGGGCGCCCAACCAGGAGTCCCCTCCGGCAGACGCCGCTACAAGCAGCCCTGATGTGGACACCTCCGATAGCTTCGAGGAGCCTCCTGCCATCGGTCTGCCAGAGCTGGGCATGGATGAGGCTGAACCTTACCAGCCAGGCGTCCTGGGCAATATCCTGTTTGGGGGGCGGCTGCTGCGGGTGCGAGACACCTATGGCTGTGTGGCCACCCTGACACACCTCCCAGAAGCCCTGCACCTGGCCGTGCGCCCCGTGGCCCTGCTTCCCCCTGACCTCACCCAGCTGGCAGAGGTCACTCTGCTGGCAGCCGGATTCCGAGAGGCAACACGGCTGGCAGAGAAACTGTCTGCCTTTTTGCGACTGGGAGGGGAGTTGGGTCCCGGTGCCCCCCGCAGCTGCCCAACCCTCCTCCGGGAAGTGATCCGGGTGGCCATCAACATCCTGTTCAACCCTCAATCGGGGCAAACGGTATCAAACGTCCGGTCAAAACACTCTGCTCGGACGACCTTCTTCCTGGGCTTGGACGAGGAGCCAGCCATGGTCAAAGCCCTGTACCTTTCCCCGTTGCTAAACGGCCCTGAGTGCCCCCGGCTGCAGATTGCACGAGAGTTGTTGCATGAGATATTCCCCAGCGCCTCCGTGTTGCCCCAGGAGCCCCAGATGCCCTCCCGGCTGCAGAGTGCCCTGATGGCCCAACTGCACGAGGACAGGCTGCACCCGGATCCACGGTTCGTGGGCTTCACCAGCCTGATCTTCCAGGCCCTGCAGGGCACTGCTGGCGTGGTCCTTCTAGGCCCCTCGGGTGGGGGCAAGACCACTGCCTGGCGCGCCCTGGCCAAGGCGCAGAGCCGGCTGGCTGCTAGCGACGCCACACACGGGGGCCCCCCTGGGGCCAATGCACAGCCAGAGAAGCTCTTCCAGCCTGTTAGCACTGTCTGTCTGTGGCCCAACGGCCTGAGTGTGGTGGAGCTCATGGGCAGCCTGGAAGGCAGCCTGTGGCAGGACGGGATCCTGTCCCGGCTCCTGCAGAGGGCAGCCACCTCTGCCTTGGCTGGCGGGACAGACACAGACTGCACTCAGCAGTGGCTGGTGATGGATGGAGTGGCCTATCCTGAGTGGCTGGAACCCATCTCCTCGATCTTCAGTGCCAGGCCCTCCCTCACCTTGCCCAACGGTCAGCACCTGCAGGCTCCTGAGAACGTCAAATTCCTCTTTGAGATGCCAGATGCCTCTGGGGTGCCCCCCTCGGTCATTCCCCACTGCACCCTGCTGCACTGTGCAGGCGTCAATGTCTGGCGGGCCCTGCTCTCATCAGCCCTGACGCCCGCCTACCGCAAGTACAGCCTGACCCAGGAGGACCTGGCTCTGTTGCGGGATCTGGCAGAGGAAGTCTTCCCACCCACCTTGGCCTTTGCACGGGAGCATTGCTGCTCGGTCCTCCTACCCCACAGCCACCCACAGAATCCCGTGGCCGAGGGCATCCAGGAGACTACTACCTTCACCAGGATACTCCATGCGCTGCTTCAGCGATACATGCACCGGGACACTGCCAAACCCCCACCTGCCCCCACCTCAGAACCCACAGGTGAGTGGCCCTTCGCAGGGAGCGGGGACAGGTCTGTGCGTGGATGTGGATGCGAGAAAGATACCCCAAGGGCAAGCAGAGGTGCAGGGGGATTGGCCCTCCTCTTTGAGGATCACCCCACCCCCACCTCAGGCTATTTGTGTGCAAGTGCAGTGCCACACCCTTCCTGCCTGACCTTAACCTGTACCCTTCATTGGCTGGACCTTCTCAGAAAGGGGGCTTCTCTGGGTTCATGCCTCTCTCCCCACCTCGCCTTTCCCTGCAGAAGCCAAGGCAGGCCCCCGTGCTGACTATGTGGCCTCCACCTCTCACTCCTTGCACGACAGCATCGCTGACCACCATCGCCTGCTGGTGCAGAGCATCTTCGTCTTCGCCTACATCTGGGGCTTTGGGAGCCACCTCCACTCCAGGTAGTGGCCCTGGTAGACTTTGGGACTTTTTGCCCCTCACCCAGGTGTGTCTGAGGGCAGAATGGAAGGAAAGCAGCCCAGAAGTGTATTGGAAGAGCAAGGTCAGCTGGGTCAGCTTGTTGCCATGGGAGGACAAGGCGGGGCTCTCTTTGGGGTCTACCACAGCTGCACAGCACCCCACCCTACCGAAAGTGATATGGGATGGGCAACACATGGCTTGACAACAGTCAATGTGTAAGAGAATTAGAAGTTTTAGGAGACCACAAGTTAAATATGAGTAAACAATGTGAGTCTAGTCTGTAGATTGAGGGAAGGCACAGCCCACTCCATTCTGCCTCTGTCATATCTGTTTCTTCTACTCATTGTGTCTTTCTCAGAATCATGGTGTGAAATAGTCCCCTCCCTTTGCAGGTGCATGTGGTTTTATGTCAAGATGGGCTTTTCCTTGATTGGAAGAGCTGTGTGGGACTAGGAGGTGGTCTGTGACCTCCATTTGTGGGACATACCATACATAAAGAACGTTCTGTGGGACATACCACACATAAAGAACGTTCTGTGGGCCCTTGGGAGGAGGGCTGGAAAGGGTAGCTCTTCTTCCTATTAGATGGGAGCCAAAGGAGGGTCCACCTGCAGGTAGAAACCTCTAGGTAATGAGTGGAAGGCAGTATTCTTGGGGTGGGTGGCTGCATGAAACACGGAGCTTCCCGGTATGATCCCCTCTCCCTCTGACGTGCTCTCTGCTCAGGCACTGGCCTTGTTTTGACCGCTTGGTCCGCCGGACCCTACTCAGCAGCAGCTGGCTCATAGAGCTTCCCTCCGCGGACTCAGTCTTCGACCTCTGCCCCGTCGTGGAGAGCGGTCGCCTAGAGCCCTTCATAGGGTCCTTTTTGTCCCAACGTGTCAAGGCCAACCCCGCGAGCTTCTCGGTCCTGCCGCAGGTAAGGGGGAAGCGTAGCTGTCTCCTTGGGAGCGAGAGAAGCGCTGTGTCTTCCTTCCTTTCCGGCATGAGAGACACTTTCCCTTGCAGTACGAACGGGTGTTCTTTGTGGTGGACCTGCTCCTGGGCGCAGACCAACCGGTCCTCCTGGTCGGGGAGCCCGGCTCCGGGAAGACCTCTTTTGCCGAGATGCTGGTGCAGCCCAATTTCCTTTATCATCGGATATGCCTCACGCCGGCCCACAGTGCCCCCCACTTGCGGCAGCTGCTGCTCCGGAGGTTCCTCAGTGCGGCGAGAGAGAAGAGCCTTTTCCCCGGAGGCAAGCCAGTTAGGGGCACAGCTGCCAAGGCTGGCTGTCTTTTCTTTGTGGAGGACCTGCACATGGCTTTTGTAGGTGAGAGGATCCCGCCGTAGCAGCCTCTCCCTTTGCCCCGGCTCCTAGAGGGCTGGTCTCCCAGTTTGTACCACAACAACTGCTTCACCTGCTCTCCTCCCTTTCAGACCCAACCCGTGGCTCCAGTCCCGTGGTAGAAACCCTGCGCCAGGCTCTGGCACAACAACAGTTCTATCATTCAGAGACCCTGGAGCTGCAGAACTGTCCGGCCACAGGCTTCAACTGCTTTGGCACCCTGTCCGTGCCTATGACTGGGGCACGGCCCCTTTGCCCTCGTTTCGGGCGGCTGTTCAGCACTGTGGGGCTGCCCCCGGTGACCAGGGACTCACTTTTATGCATGCACACAGGCACCATCCTCGCCTGGTTGGAAAAGTTCCCCATGCTGACGCGGCACGGCGACCTGGCATCCTCCATTGTGCGGGCAACCGCTGAGACCTACGATGCAGCCAGGAAACAGTTCCAGCCTTCTCCCGCCTGCTGCCTCTTCCAGTTCTCTTTGCACGCCATTCAGAAGGTGATCAAGGGCATGCTGCTGCTGCGGCCCCGTCCAGGCATTCACCTCTCCAGCCCCCTGGATGACTATAGCTCCAAGGCGGTGGTCAACCGGCGCACCTCTGGCTTGAGCCGGATGCTCACGGGGCCGGGCTACACCACGATCCTCAGTGTCCGACTCATTGTACGTCTGTGGATGCACGAGAGCCTGCGGGTGTTCTGCGATCCACTTCGGGGCGAGCGCCAGCGTGAGCAGTGTGGGCAGATGCTGATGGAGATTGCCACGGCCACTTTCTGTGCCAAGAGGCAGTTTGTGCACATGGTGCCTTCCTTTGGCCCCGAGTGCTCTCACCTCCCCAGTCGAGGCAACGTCACCTTCCAACTTTCCAGCATCTCTGCCGTCTGTGTCGCTGAAGACGAATTGCCTGATAAAGAGGATCTCTTGCTAAGTGCGCACTTTGAGCAGGGTTTCTTCTCCACCGATGAGCGGGACTATTGTGACCCCTGGGACCCTGTGGAGCAGGCACCGGCTCTTGCGCTTGAGCGTCCTGCACCAGCCGCAGCCCCAGACAAAGACCCTCCCCCAGTGCCGGTGCCTGAGTGTGAAGCCTCTGAGGTGGACACTGAGGACTCAGAGGCTGGGAAGAAATTGGAGGCCGGCTCAGAGGGGAGCACGCCGGAACCACCGCAGGTGGGTGAGCCTCCTGGCTCTCCCCGTCGCCCTTCCTCCATGCGAGTCAGGCACCGGCTCTTGTCCCGGAAGGAGACCTCCGGCCCGTTGTTGCCGCCACACCTCTTGCTGCTGCAGGCCGAGTCCGTGAGGGACATAGTCTTCAGCAAGGACCTGGGCCCTGATGCCTACCGGCCCTCAGCTCATAACCCTTATCAGGAGAAGGTCTGGAAGACCCTGGAGAGCCAGCTGGCCCCCACCATACCCTCCGATTTCATGTTGTGCACCGAGGGGCTGAGGCATGTAGTGCGCCTGAGCCGCGTCCTTTACGGCCCTGACAGACATGCGGCCCTTGTCTCCTTCAGTCGATGCACAGGGCGGCAGTCTTTGGTGGCCCTGGTGGCACGTGCCACCGCCTCCCTGGTCATGGAGCTGCCGGCCAAAGCAGATGAGGCAGAGACGCTCATGTTAATGCGGCAGGCCACCTGGGAGGCGGGCATCAAGGGGAGCCGGGTGCTGCTGATGGTGCATCCTGGGATACGGCTGGCCAGCTTGCACCTAGTCCTGGCGCTGATGACAGAGGGCACATGCCCGGGGCTTTACAGCCCAGACGACGCTGTGTCCATCATCCCGGCCATGCTGCAGGAGAACCCCACCATCAAGCGGACCATGCGAGACGAGATCATTATCCAAAAGTATGTTGGGGGAGGCAGGGGGGGGGGCGTAAGGAAGACTAAAGCCAGTGGTGGCCCCTGGATCCCTAGCTCCATCTATGGCTTTCTCCATAGGTTCTTCCAGTTTGTGCGCTCCAACCTGCACGTGCTGCTGCTGCTGGGGGGGATGAGGCCCTTGGCACTGCCTCCACTGACGGCCGTGGCCCTGGCCCAGCTGCTCTGCTGCCTGGAGGTGTACCAGCCCTGGAGCCACGCCTCGCTGGAGGAGGTGACCGCCAAACACTTCAAGAAGCACCTCAAGCAGTCCGCACGGCTTACTCGAGGTAGGAGCCTGACCTGGGGCTCGGCTCAGCTCACCCTGTCCTCCATGGGCAGTTTCCTCACAATCATCTGCAGGTGGGCAGAGGCAGCGCTGGTTTCCTCTCAGCTTTCATGTGCCGCACATGCTTTCTCCCTTTTGGGGGGACATCCAAACTCGGAAGTGTCAAGGTTGCTTCTGAAACCCATCCCCAGTTTGACATTAGGACCTGGAAGAGGCAGGTGGGGTTGCTCTATAAATACATAAAATGCAGCAAGCAGATTTCTGCTCAGCCTTCATGGGGAGGGAGGATGGCTACCCATCACCCTGCCTCCCTGCTCCCTTTCTTGCCTCCATTCCCCTGGCAACTAGCCGAGCCCTATGGAGTGCTGGACAGGGGCAGACATTCCACAGTGACCGTCCTTTGCCCATCTGCAGAGGCACTCTGTCCTTCCGAGGTTGTTTGCACCTTGCTTCCCCTTTCCATCCTCAGAGGCAGGCTCGGGCATCACAACCATCCCGTGTGGCATTTTTGAACCAGAGTTTCACTTGATTGGTCTTTGCCTGCCACTCGGCCGGAGTTCTCCTTCCAGCTGGGATGCCTGAGTCCTTCCAGAAGGCTCCTTGTGGCCACTGGTTGACTTCACTGGACATACTGGGGGCAGGGCGGGGGACTAGGAAAGTTGGTGTGTGGGGGGGG